CGTGTAGATAATGATAAAGTTCAGGATAGTTATTGGTAGGCTAATTACCGCAAAAGCTGATGTTAGAAATAGACGAAATTCAGGGCGCGTAATGTTGATTGGTCTATATGACACAAAACAGTTCTCCTGCATTTTTTAAAGTTATTTGTATTACCAACTCTGTGTTTGTTTCTCCGCTTCTATACCTTGAAGTTATGCCTTTTCAGAATAAGAGTTCGTGCGATTTGGGAGAATCCATTTTCTTGAAACCGAAGGTCTACAGTTCTGAATACTCTTTCAAGCTGAACTTTTTACCAAATGAACAGTAAAAAGTGGAGAAGGTTATTGAGATGATCTTTTTAGCACTTTTGTGAAGTGTACTGAAAAGAGTTCTTTTGAATCAGCTGTCTTTATAAGAAAAGAACAATCTCGTTCCCAGGGCCTCATCCCTCCGTTTGGCCTGGGAACAAGGTTGGAGAAAAGTCATTTAATTCGAAATAATAATCCATTGTTCCACTGGAAGAAATCGCGCGCTTTTAAGGTTGTAAATTTGATGTAAATATGATGTAAGTGTCCAAAATTCTGTAAATTTAATGGACATTATTTACATCAAATTTACAGAATTTTGGACACTTACATCATATTTACATCCAATTTACAACCTTTAAAGCGCGCGATTTTTTCCAGTGTTCCTCTAAGGAACCTATAAACTACAAAGAAGCGTAACAAGTGCGCAAACTGAAGTTGTTTCTTGTTAAGAGAAAATAGAGAGAGCGATGTTGGTATTGTAAAGGCAGTAACCCATGCCAAATTCATCAACAATGCAACTCGTTTATCGGTAACAATGATCATATAGAAGTCCGATGGCCAAGAAACAATCGATACTGCTGATCATGAGAAAGTGAAGACGTAGCAAAGAAAGGTTGAACGTATAGAATACCACCACTAAACAAAGTTTACACCAGGTTTCTATAATTCCTTTAGAAATAGAACATTTCCAATTGCCATCATGGGGATTATAATGCCGATTAAGAAATCTGCAGGACAAGTGTGATCGATGGTCTGTGCAACGATTCAGTTTTCCAGATCGTGTAGATTACTACAGAGTCGAGGGTAATTATTGGTAGGCTAATTACAGAGAAAGCTGCTGTCATAAATATACGAAAACCAGGCTGGATGATTTCGGATTGTAATAAAGAAGACTTTTCCATGCTGTTTCGCCGTTCAGGATTTCGTTATTCTCTGCCTGCGTTAATTTTCCACAACATCCGGACATCTGTTTTTTGATACTTGACTGTGTAGAATTGTGTATTGATGCACCAATCGGCATACAAGAAATCATTTCTTTCCTATTTCCGACATTGTGTCAAATCGGTGTAAACTAGCGGTGAACTTGTGTGAGATACGTCGGTGTATCGAAAGAAAGCAATTGTGTAAAAAGATAAATTTTAACATCCTAAAAAGTAGGTGAAAAGTAGGAGCATTCCGAAGAAGGATTAACTTCCGAAAATGTCAGTAAGTTGTGTCACCTAATTGTTTTTTTGTTTGTTTGTTTGTTTGTTTTTTATATAGTTGTGTCAAATCTACATTTAAATGAATTAATTCCTTGGCGTTACATTATATGGCCATATATAGGTCATCTTGGTTTCTGTTAAATGTTGCTATGACTACATGTGGTAAACCCTCCACCCCTACAGTCCTGCCAAGTTCACTTCTGTTGTGGTGCTCTTGGTTTAACTACTTTGCTTTCTATAATTTCGTGAGGAACGATTGTTGTATTTAGATTTGACTGTCTCTCGTTATTCTTTCATCCTCCATAAAGACAATAGTTTAAACTGGATTTAACAGGTTTTCTCTAAGGACGTTTTGGCTAGTACTTAACGATTCTTAAAGCATCTAAAGGTTTGTGCTTAATCCTTCATGAATGTTATTCTTTGTTGGAAATTCATGTTTGTGGCACATTTAATCTAAGAACGCATCCAATTGTGTCTTTCACAGCTCCTCTAAGAGCTGTCATCCTCCATAAGTATACCATTGGATTTATAAGAGAGTTAAGAGATATCAGAATCTCACTTATTCGGCCAAATATACCAACCCCGTRTGTTCCTCCGTACTTGCTGTATATCAGGAGGTAAAGAACGTACGGAAAATAACAGCAAAACACTGCTAGAAGAACGACTATCATTGTTATGAACGACTTCCGGTATTTGCTGACATCGAAGGAAGGGTTTTTTAGGGGTTGGCTTAAGTGCATCTGAGGTGGTGGTTGTGGCTGAAGTAGGTTTTGTTGTTGCTGTTGYGGTTGAAKTGATTGATTCAACTTATTTAAAGGTTGCTGTTGAGGTAGGTTTAGTTGTCGTTTTTGTTGTTGTTGTTGTGATATATTTTTTGGTTGTTGTGTTTGATTCAACTGATTTAACAGTTGTGATTGCGGCAGTTTTTGTTCTCGTTTAGTGTACTGTTCTTGTGTTTGACTAGCATGTTGTATGGTGTCAGTAGTTAGAGGCGTCTTTGTCGTGTTTGTTGATGGTTTTGCTGTTGTGTTTTGAGATGTACAGGTTGTGTTGGCTGCGTTTACAGCAACTGTTGATGTTGTTGTGTTTTTTGATGTTGTCGGTTTGAGATATATTGTTTTGATGTTGGCGACTGCTGGAGTGTATTTCAATTGGTGTTGTTCATGCTGTTGCTGTTGTTCCTGATGTTCTTGTTGTAAACTAGGATTGGCTCTGATAGAATTGATTGATTTCTCTTCTACTTGTTGATCTTCTTTGTCCAGTTGTTCATGTTGACTGTGATTTGAACTCTGTATATTAGGATGCTCCTTATCCTTAGTGGAGTCATTTTTCGGTAAAACCTTCTGCTTTATTTGCTTGAGTTCTCTCTTCTTTATTGGGATGGCTATCTTTTTTAATTTATAAAAAGCCAWAGAGTATGAGAAAGTTAAAATACAAATTTCAGMCAGAATGAATGCCCCAAATGCAACAACAAGAGACTTCAGTGTGATGACATCAGTGCGAAGAAGTAATGTACTAATRATTTCAATGATTCCAAAAGATATCCACCCAAACARCAGTACTCCGATAGTGCGTCTGTTTGTGACATTTGCGTTGTACGAAAGCTTTAGTTTTATAGCTAACAAACGGTCAACACTTAYTGCAGTTACTGTATATGAACTGATAATAATCAAATAATAGAGAACTATACCAAGAATACTCCATACACGGCAGAAAACATCATCCCATCCATAGATAGACGCAACTTGTACTGCTACTGCTGATGGGCATACAAGAACTCCAAATAAACAATMCGAGGCGGCGAGACTAGCGAGAAGAAATTGCGAAGGTTTATGGAAAGAGTTATTTTTCCAGATTGTYARCAGTACCGAAAGGTTGACCATTATTGCAGCTATTCCTACGACAGTGTAAAATATTATTTGAASAATACGAACTGTAGMTGATAAAGGAAACGATTTGWAYCCTTCAGAACATGAAATACTCATATTTCCGAGTTTGAAGTCGTTGAACGTTTTAGAATCTTCTCTTTTGTAAAGTTGTACAGGTGGAGAAAGTGACAACTTCTCCAAGTCATTKYACACTCTTGTCATATTCTGCTCAGAAAAGATATTGGCTTAGTTAATCTAGACTCTGATTGGACTGTGTGTTTTCGATGGTTATTTCTTACTGGACAATATCTCATCCAATATAACATTATATTATTTTAGGAGAGTACATCGAGAGCCGTGATTATTGGAGCGAGAAGATAGTTGACAGCAAATATTGTAAAAACAATTTGTAT